TGGTGCAGGCGTAGTCATGATAGCTGGTCCACACTGAGAGAGCATTTTATTACCATGCAGACTTTTAGGACTTAATTCTTTTTTGCCCAAGATTCCATCAGACCAGCTCTTCGTTGAGTTCAACCAGTATTCTGCATGGATTAATCCTAGAACTCAAACTGCTATCATGTAATATTCCCTTTTCTCTTTTTCCAGGGAAGCCCAGAGTTTAGACTCACAGGTGTGTGTGTGTATTTTTTCTTATTCTGAATCCCTAGTTTTATCATTCTCTTGTGCTGGTGATAGAAAAGCTTGTTACACTAAAGCCTCATCCTAAATGTATTTTTGACGATTGATCGAATCGTTTGACATTCACAGTTTTACTTAGCTTTGGACGTATTAAGCAACTCATAATAATCTGGAAACAAATAGGTTCTTTAGGCAGCCTGTGTATTTCATCTTCTAAAATATAACTATATTTATGCAAACATATGTAAAGCATATTATCCCATAAACTCTGTAGCTATGCATATGGCTGTGCATATTATGACAGTCTGGGAGTACGAAATTTAAAACTCCAAATGATTTTCATAAGTAATACCTATTAGTGAACACAGTTCGTTTTTTAAAACTTTTCATCTATGATTCAGATAAGAAGCATCACAGTTGAATCAGAATTTGGAAGTACAATTTGTTGTGTATTTCTGTACATATATAATGGGTGAAGACTGATTTCTTAGATGGAAATCCATGTTTTAAGTTAACTTGAATTGCACTGCACTTCTGCTATTTGCTCCTTGTGAACTTGGCCCCCTATGATAGAATGTTTTCAACCACTTTCCACTTCTCTTGTCTCACATCCAGAAGAGATCGGCTGTGTTCTCCCCTGATAGCATGTTTCGGTCACGACTGGGTTTAGGCTCTTGACGCCTTCAGTTTCACTGTAGGTGGGTGGCCTCTGGACCTTCTTTTCATGAAGGAGGTTGTGAGGAAGTTTAGAAGTCAAAAGCCCCTACCATGGGACTCATCAGTGACCCATTGCCATTCTTGAGAATCCTGGTAATCTTTGAGATTAGAACCAGAGATTAGAACTAATCTAATTAATCTAATCCAGAGATTAGAACCCTTCTTTGGCTTGTACTGAGACACTCAGAAGTCGTCCAATTTGTAGCATTTTTTAGCAGTGGGAGCGCTTGGTGGTAGTTGGCAGGCCAGAATGAGCTATAAATAAATAAAACCCCTACAGCTCTTGCTTCCTTCATTCAAGGGTGTCTGCTGATAAGATGCAAGCATCTGGCAGAAGGAAAGATTCTCAGCAGGTTTAAGTGCTTACCATCATGCTTTCTGGTATCCGAGGCTCAGCTTCTGGTCTCTGCTGTGTTATTTTGGCACTCTAGACTCATAAGATTAGAGAGTCGGGTTTAAAACTCTCAATATATCATTAAGGTAGTCCAAGGTCCCTTCTTCTCAAGGAGGACTAGCTGATTTCAGGGGGAAAGAAAAGCGGAATCCTGGGCACCTGTAAATCCCTGTAGTTTCGTGCTGTGGATTTGTAACTAATTATACAGCAGGCAATAGTAATGTATTGTAGCTCTTTTGGCACACTCGTTTCAGAAAGAGCAGAACCTTCCAGCAGAGCAAAGAAGGGGCTTGGAAGGAGACTGCAGATGAATGAAGCAATGATCATTTTACTGTAAACGAAAGCTCTGCCATGGAACTGGGGCATCTGAGCAGCAAGGAGGTGGTCAGGGAGACGCCAGCAGAAATACGTGGTTCAGATGTGTTTTACAGCTCCTGATTCGGACTCTTCTGCAGAAACATAGTCACGCAAGGAGACCACCACTGGTCACAGCCAGTCAAATTGCTCTTTCTCCTATGGTACTGCTGTTAGCAACCACTAGTAGGTTATTCAGCCGACCTCTTCTGATTCTGCTTTGCTGCCTGATTTCAAAAGATTTTCCTTATCCTGGCTCTGAGTCACAGCTTGATATAACACTGCTTGTTTGCATGCATCCCCATCATTTTCCTATAGGGTCTCTTTTTTTCCTCCTACAAGTTAGAAGGCAGAAGAATCAGAAACATTTTTATATGATAAAAGATTTATGTAGGGCCAGCTCGAATTCAGCAAAATGAAATTCAGCAAAATGAAATTCAGCTGGAAGGGATGGTAAAAGGCTCCGAGAACTTGTGACTGCCAGAGAAATCAGTGTTCCTTAAATAAAGAGGATTCAGCCAGCCGGCAGCAACTCTGACTTTGCATTCATATTGAAGCAGGCTCTCCAGCAATCCTAGGCAAGCAGATCAATAAAATCAGAGGTGACTTAATGCTGAGGACCTCAGCATTCAAAGGATTTGTCTTGTCCTTTCTAGCCTCCGGAGCTGAGGTGAGGAAATACCAGGTCTGGTTTCTGGTTTATGACACTTTATTTAGCAGTGTCCTTGGAAAACATCCCCTTTGATTTCTCAGTTACCACATCTGTAAAATGGAGCTAATCTCCTGGAAGGAAAATGATTCTAATATTTTTCAAAACATGGTGAATGAAGATTCATTGTCTTAAGTTCTCTGAAGACCTAAACAGCAAATATCTTACAAATGAATTTATACTTTTTTTTTTCGTATTTGAGAATGCAATTGATTGCCCTATCAGAGATTGAGCAATTTGTTTATTTTTTCATGATGAGTATTCAGTGAAATGGGGCAGATTTTATTTTCAGCTATATAAATGGAATATTTGACTCATACACGATCTCTGTGTTGGTTGTTGATTTCTGTGCAGACCACTGATCGAGCTTTCTGGTATATCACAATAGTGTGCAGCATACCCCATTGGTCGTTTTCTTAAATTGATCAAATAGCCCCTTTATAGAGTAACAAAATATATAAATGATTGTTATGGACACGGCTAAGTATTTACTTTGTAGTAGAGAGTTTAACCTTCCCTGCTTATCTCCCCAACAGCCCCACAGCTTCTTATTCTACCAAAGGGGATAAACTGACTCTAAACTTACCTCCTACATGATCGATTTGAGGCCAGTCCTTTAAAGACTGGAGATGTTGGGAGTTTTGTTCTTACCCCATACTGCGTAGATGGTGCCCAATTCTATAACAGAGCAGCAGGGGGCTCCCTGTGCAAGCTAGCGGATTGCTGATAGAGAAGGGCTGTCTTTTTGTTGGTGGCGTTCTCTTCAATTCAGGCCCTTTTCTGCTGGAAACTTGGCCCTCATCCTGGGAAGGACTCCCTAAGGGATTCGAGTGGAGCCACAGAAGCAGTGAGACTGTTTTATTAGTGTAAGAAATTGGTTAACAGTTGAGAGAGATTACCCTGGTTTCTGAATCCCTGAACTCTGGATGCGAAGGAGCCTGAGATGCTTTGTTTGTAGAGTCCTTCTCTCTGAACTGAAGTTTATCGTTTAGAGCCTGTGCAGGTGGCCTTTATCTTAAGAATCCTTTATATCTTAAAAGGAAGACTTTCCTATATTCTCATTAGCATTTACTATTAGTTTTCTGCTTCTGCTGTAGAACCCACGAGTGCTTGTTGTTTGCTGATGAGGACCAGGTGCATGATATCGAAGGACCTCTTGTAAAATGAAACCCGTTCCCCCAAAGAAAAACTGAAAGAATCCAAAGAGCAAAGGTGCAGGGTTTTGCAGTCAGAGGTTGCTCTTGCTGCCTTAGGAGTCTGTTCTGTGATACAGGTTTGATGCAGAGAGCATCACTACTCACAAATCACACGAGGTATACAGTTTGTGTGCAGTGATATGTCACCGCTCTTTATTTATATGGCCAGCTCAGTCTATTCTGCTCCTTTCACTGCCGTGGAGAGTGCATCATTTCCCTCCCTCTCTCCTCCTTCCCACATATCATCAGCACCACCCACTCTGTTCTGCCCATTAAGTCCTCTGTGTGCCAGAAAACCCCAACAATGATTAAATGCTGATAAAAGAGCGTTAGAAGGTTAAGATATCAACCAATCAACCCCCTTACAAGACTCCTAAATTGTGGGTGGTGAGTGTAACTTTTCCCTTTTACCATTGAAAATAAGGACTTTTATTTGGGTTGTTTTGGTTTGTTTGTTTCAGTTGAGGAAATGACTGATGTCAAATTAAAGGGGGAGAAAAGCATTGGTGGTAAAGACCAAAGAGAATGCAAGAGACTTGCTTCACATTTTCCATTCTTATCCTAATGTTCCTCTCATGATTCAGAAGCATTCTCTATCAGGAAATTCTAGGGCTTGCCAAATTTAGGTAAGGTTGTTTTCATGGAAGGCCCAGAGATTTTAAATGTTTAAATGTCATAATTGCCCTAAATTCATTTCATTTAAAAAAACGTTAATTCATTTTTAACAGTTTGTACTAGTCTAATCAGGGAATCGTTAGTCATCACCTTCCTGCATAATTTTAGCTTTAAGCTCCTATAGCACAGAATACCTGTCTTTCCTATACCACCCCACCCCCACCACTCTACAGGAGTGGGGTGAAAGAGAACTAGAAAAGGTACTTGGAAACCCAGATTCCTGGTGTCTTTTCTCTAGAGGAGAGTTTTTAGGTTCCTCACATATCCTAGAAGATCAGTTAACGTAGGGAGGGCTGTGGCGTCAGCTTCTCTGAACCTCCTTATGGCATTTTTAGTAAAACAGGAACAAGTAAGATGCTCTCAGAATCTTGTCAAGAATTATGCCTCATGTTGAAGCTTAAGATAATATACCATATTATACAGCTTCAATTAATTTTCATGAGCCTGTCTTTTGTCTTTATTCTGCATTATTTTTTGGTAATAGAGTTATAGAAAAAAATAGTAAATACAGTTTGACCCTTTCCATCAACAGCTGCTGTGGTAAGGTAGGTCAGCCTCTTTGGAGGCACCCAGCGGGTGGACGCGTAATGAGCACTTAATTATGTCTGCTGAAGGCCAGAGCCGCCAAACTGGGACTCCTCAGGACTGGTCTGTATCTGCTCTGACAGTTCTTTTATTGTGGCTTTCCCTAACCTATTGGTAACTAACTGTGGTTGTTTAATTACAGAGGGAACATCCCCACGCTAAACAGGTACCGTATACTTAGTTTTTTTCCAATTAAAAGCATCTTTTTTTGTAACTTAGTGAAACCAGGAGAAAAAAATAACACTTCACTTGACAAGCTAATATGTTATCTTGCTGCTGGGAGGTCCTGCACTCCCCTTTGGACATACTAAACTGTACTTTCTGTTTGGAAAACATGTCTTCAGCTTTTCTCCAGCCGTTCAAAAAGCAGCACTCAAAAAGTATGGAACAGCTTCTGTCTAGCTGTGGACGATAGGGGAATGAATCACCTGTCCAGTGTTCAGCTTTGCTGTAGACATCTTCTTCTGCTAAGCTCTCCATCTAGTTTGGGGCTTTCAGAGGAGGAACCCTTATGGTCACTCTTATCCTGGCAAACTGTTCCTCAGTTTTTCAGTTTTTTAGTTTCTCTAATTTGTATCTCCTTTTTGAGGAATGCACAGGCAGAAATAGCTGATCTCATGTTTTATCAGTTTGTTAGCTGTTTTTCTAAAGTATTAACATTGTCATGCAAGTCAAGTTTTATGTCAGACCTGTAATGAGATTAACACTGGAAGAGTGTATCTAAAGTTTTGATGTGTGTATCCCTGTGAAGACGTTTCCAGACTGATATAACACAGAGTGGTACTTTTAATATGTTGAGTTCCTTCTGCTCCTGAACCCAGCAAGGCAACACAGTGCAAGTTTGAGAGGATAGTAATTCTGATTGGCATCCCCCGAGTGCTAAAGCTGGTGCTGAGCTCTTTGTAGATGACCAGCTGTACACCGAAAGATGTATAGACTTGTGTTTATTTTGTGCCTCTCCCTTTAAATATTAAGTCATCACCACTGGTTATAGCTTTTATAGCCTCCAGTTTGTATGGGGAGAGGAAAGGAAGTGCTTCTGTTTGGTCCTCTCATCTGCTCTTGGAGGGTAGGCTTGCTTCATTCCTGCCTGCCTTTAGCTGTCCTGGCCCAAGAGCATAGTACTGGGGGAAACGGAAATGCCATGGGGTTTCAGTTGAGCGATAAAGATGCTTAACCCCATGCTTGCCGCAAACACAACCTGTTAGCAGCTTCAGGAGTTCCCTTTAAGGATTATCTGGACTCTCTTTCCTGTCTAACACCAGGCAGGTAGAAAAGATACAATGCCTCACAAACTTGCTCCTTTACTAAATACATTTGGTGATCCTAGAAAAGAGGATGATAGCCTTTCTGAGTTCATCCAGCTCTGAATCCCGGTTTCTAGTGAGCGCCATGTATAAGACTTGCTTGCCATGTGCTTCGTCTGTCTGTCTCATTCATGGTATCAATGGTTTCCTCTCCCACTCTACCTTCTAGTCCCTGGTACTGTCAGAAGATGAAGTACTTTTTCATGGTCATCTGCCAAGGGATTAAAAACCTGGAGTGTCAGTCTCTATAGTCTGTGTGAGCAACAGTCCCATTTATAAAAATATTTATAAAAAATTCCATTGCTGTTAATATTTGCAACAGAGTACAATATGTACCCAGATCTCGAGTCCACCTTGCTGGCTGTCTTGTACCCTGCAATACTGCAGGTGGTGCACTCGGAGGAGATTTTTGAGCAGCTCCCCAAAGTTCGGGTGCCATTGCCATGCTCGGAACTTGCTTCAGCTCAGTATGCCGATAACGTGTCGGGCAAGTCCTGGAGGTATCCTTTAGCGAGGTCCCTCCTAAGAGGCTGTCCTGATTGGCTGGGCATCACTACAGTGTACAGCAGCATCTGTCAGTACTCACTGCTGAGGCACATCAAGGAATATCCAGACTCGTTATATTTTTAGATTGAACAGATCCACTCCCTTTGAGCATCTCCATTTACACCTGTTGGTCCTGCTTACACATACTTTGAGACGCATGCTCTGCCCTTGTGTACTCTGCTGGGATGAATTAAGGGCTTTTACTGACAGTATGTTTACTTTGGTATAGAAATGTTTAAATATAATTTTTTTCTTTTTATTTTTTAAAAAATTAAAAATAATTAAAATAGACTGAAATTATAAATTTTTAACCACTACAATATTGTAAAGTAAAAATGTTTAAATATAAAAAAGGAAATTCGGCAAAACTGTTTCTCTTTCAAAAAGGGAGGAGCTATGATTCTTATGACTATACTCTTCCCATCAGCCCAGTAAAGGAAAAGATAGATACCTCAGTAAAGTTCCTTTTATAGACTGTGACTTGCTTCTCTCTGATGAAACATGGTTTTTTGTTTTTGTTTTTAATAATGATTCACTAAACCATTCCAGATGACTTAGAGTTGTTGTACATGTGGATATCTATCTGTGAATCCTTAATCTATTACAGTTCCTAGAGAAAAATACCTCCAGTGTTGCCTAGCTACCACTCACTTGGCTGGCTTACTTCCTTTTAAAAGAGAGGATGTTTTAGGGAAGGGGAAGATGCAGGATGGTTTTTCACCCCTATGTGCTCTTCATTCACTAGACATGTCGTGATGTCAGTGTGTGAAAACTGCCATATTATTCCTTAGGTTTTTACATGGAGAAATTCACGGGGTGGTAAAAATATTGTTTGTGTGGAAGGAAAATCTCAAGGCAAGGGCTACTGTGAGTCTAGTAGCATGGGCTTCTGCATAGTGGGTCAAAAACCAAACCTGCTCTCTGCCGCCTGACCCTGTCCCACCTCTCTCCCAGCCCCTTTTCTCTGCTGTGGCTCTCCCAGTCCTTGCTCCTACCCCCGTGTCTAACGCGCTCGATTCAATTACCATTTAGAATGTCCTTCTCCTCCAACCTCAACCACTACGGCATGGCTCACGTAGCCAGCGTCAGCGATGTGCTGCTGGACAGCGCGTTCACCCCGCCATGCCAGCGGATGGGCGGGATGGTCTCCTTTCGGACCTTTGAAGACTTTGTCAGGTAAGGCGCCTCAGATTTCTGCGGCGTGAATAGGGGCTCCTGGGTTAGCCATGAGCCAGCTAAGAAGATGTAGCCCTCGCTGTTTCACGCCCCGGGACAGGTATCTGTCCTTCCTTTCCACCCTCCCGTGCAGACCCTACAAGCCTGTACTTGTTATGTGGGTCTGGTCAGAAAAAAAGGAACAAACAAAGACCATCTTTTCCTCAATAGCTAGTAGAAGAAGCTGTCTGCTCTGTGATGAGTGAAATGTCAGGAGAAATTAAACACAACACTAGAGTGAGCCCCACCAGAGACGATACATCTTTTGATTAAATGCATTCAGCATCTATCTCTTGATGTATACTGATGCGTTACCCTAGGGGGAGGGGTAATTACATTGGTCTGTCACTGCTCTGGTCCCAGGCTCTTTCTGTTACTTTAAGACCGATGATGACAGCAATGCTCGTAGCTTACATATGAAAAACAAATAAACAAAAAGACACAACAGAAAAGCTTGAGATTGTTCTTTTTTAAAAATAGAAAATATATATGGTTTATTAAAGTTGAAACCATCCATCCTCCTAATTTCTGCCATGTGGTAGAAATTCTACCCGTCCTGTCTAGCCACTGGTGATTCTGTTCAGTTGACTGCCGAGCACGGGGTAGGACAGATGGTTCTTTTAGACAGAGCTGGCCGTGGCAGTGTTCGTCTTCCTGCCACTTCGGGTTTCTGCTCCTTTTCATGGTGGGTGTTTCTTTGGTATTTGATATTTTTTAGGATCTTTGATGAAGTGATGGGCTGCTTCTGTGATTCCCCACCCCAAAGCCCGACATTCCCTGAGGCAGGTCACACGTCTCTGTATGACGAAGACAAGGTAGGGTTGTCCCCTTTGGGAGAATGCTTTGCCTCTTCAGATACAGAACTTGTACTGTATACTCTGTCTCTCTTAAACATTTATTTATTTAAATTTTTTTATCTATTTGGCTGCAGCGGGTCTTAGTTGTGGCACGTGGGTTTAGTTGCTCTGAGGCCTATAGGATCTTAGTTCCCCGACCAGGGATCAAACCCTGCATTGCAAGATGGATTCTAAACCACTGAACCGCCAGGGAAGTCCCCTGTGTACTCTCTTAATTATTATTATTATTTAATTGTATATACCTCATTTAAGTATTTTTGGAAACAGGTAGTACATAAAGTCTGACCTAAAAATAGAAATAACCGTATTAAGCATGGAATCCACAGTGTAGAATGAGCTCAGCTGTGTCCTCTACAGCTGCCCCTGGGTCTCAATATTATTTCAAAGACTTGAGCTTCGGTTGCTTTAACTCTTAGTCATGGATGGCTTGTGTATTTGCAGAGCAGTGCTTTTGTATCTTCAATGAACGGTGGGCTTCAGATAGCAGAAGGAAATGGGCGTTTCGTTTAAAATTTTGTTCTTTTATTAAACCCTTCTTTCCATTTCTCAGTAAACACTTGGTCCTGGTTTTTCCCTACCAGGTTATTTTCCCATAGTGGTTTGATGCTTCTCCTGTTTGACAAATGTTAGGAAATATATTACATGGGAATATGTTCAGATGGCTTCTTTTCCTCCTTTTCCTTTATATTACATGAAGAAATGTTGCAAATGGTTTCATCCCCATTTTATCGGCGAAAAAGTTGAGACAGAGTGGTCTTCAAGTCCATAGCAAGTTAAGATTTGGGGCCACCTCTAATTAATGCCTTTGCTGCCTTATTGTTTAAAACTTAGGTGTCTTTAATCTCCATTGTGGGTGTTGGGCAGTGGTTTCATTTTGCTTATTCATACAAGTGGGCAACCCAAAAGTATTCTGGGGGGCGGGGCGTGTCTCTTTTCCTAGTATCCTACCAAGTACTGTAACTTTTCTCTGCCCCCATATTAGCTAGCCTCCTGAGTGTGTTTTGTTGTATTCTTGGGTTACAGGTCCCCAGGGATGAACCAATTCACATTTTGAATGTGGCTATCAAAACAGACTGCGACATCGAGGATGACAGTCTGGCAGCTATGTTCCGAGAGTTTACCCAGCAAAACGTAAGTCTTCATGTGGGTGGACGCTGGTGATGGCCTCTTTCCTGCAGCCTATGTGACATATCCATCCTTTTCTCATTTGCTACTTATAAGGCCTGATCACTGATAATGGCTGTGTCTTTGACATAGTTCTGCCTCTAGGGGTAAAATTCCAAAGTGATTTAATAGTGTGAAATACGTATCTTTTTTATGTCAAGAAGTATAGAACTTAAATATTCAGAATGTTTTAGGGAAGAGAAGTTATATTGCTGAATCTTTCCCAGAGCCCCAGTCTTGAACTTGGCCTGCTGGATCTCCTTTGATGACGTAGCCACACATGTCTAGGCCCAGTCTCGCCCCATGCTCCCTCTATGTCCTTCCCTCCCAGCCTTGAAAATATCAGTGATAATTCCACCCTCCTTTCAGTTTTATGTCACTTGGATATCTTGTGTTGACATCGTGGTCCACAGTTGAGGTCTGAATTCCCATCATTTTCCTTCACATCTTCTGATTGCCTCATCGCCCACCAAAAAACTAAACAGGAACAAAAATAACCTCAAGTAACCAAACCCTTTGCCCCCAGTCATTCAGAAATCATTGACTTCTTTCTCTTCTTTGCAGTTCCCTTATTCTACCCCTCCCTCCCTGCCCGTTCCTTCCTTCCTTCGCTTCCAGCCCCCTTCATTTCAGTTTTTTAATTCCCACTACCATCTCTCTAGTTTAGACCCCTCCTCCCCCTCACTCCTGAGACACAGTGACAGGTTTCCCTCTGATCCTCACACGTCCCGTCCTGATAGTCTCCATTCTGCTGACTAGCACAAAGGTAAATGTCCACGGTGCCCCCTTGCACTCAACACTGATTCTCCCTAACCTTCCGGACACCTCCTTGCCTTCCTGTTTAACATTAGCCTATTAATGAGGACCCACAGTCTAGCCTTTGCTGCTCCCTGAAAAGACCCAGGTCTTTGTCTCATCTACCTTGTCTGCCTGCTCTCCTCGACTGCCCCTTATCTGGAATGTTTTCTTCTTTCTTTCCTTCTTCCTTCCCTCCTTCCTGTCTCCCCCTACCTCTTTCTTTCTAAATCCTGCTTGTTTTAAGAGCTGTCTCCAATTTTCCCTCTTTTGTGAGGACTTCTCTGTGTAGCCTTAACTAAGATGTATTTTCTTCTCTTAGATTTCTAGTTGGTCAGTATAAATTGATTAATAATAATAGTTTTAATTTCTAAACACCATCTGTGTAAATTTTTTAACTTATTAGCACCTTACCACAATCCCATGGGGTTAGATTAATCAGATTAGTCCAACTATACATGTGGGGAGAAGCTCAAGGTCAGAGAGCTTAAGGCCTTTTAATCACCAGCTGGTAGGTGATGGAGAAAAAAACTAGAATTTAAGGCTTTGGTACCAGCTCTAAGGGGCACAGATCTAGGTACTTTAGTAAATATTACATTCAGATGCTTATAGTCTGATGTTCAAAATGATCGTCTGTGCTATATGATAGATGCCAATGTACCCTTCCTCGGCAGCCCTTCATTACAATGCCAATGTGTGCTCTTTGAATGGAAAGCATCTAGCCCGTAGTGCTTGTCATAAAGAACTCAATAGATTTTTTCTTTTTTGGCCACACCTGGTGGCATGTGCGATCTTAGTTCCCCGACCAGGGATTAAACCCACATCCACTGCATTGGAAACATGGCATCTTAACCACTGGACCACCAGTGATGTCCGATAGATTTTTAAAAATTCAACAGTGTAAACAGGGCCATGGATGTTCACATCCTATCAGGCTAATGGTCAATACCTAGGAAAAGATGGTAATTTTGTGCTTAAAGTGTGTCCTAGCATTTTCCCCATGATGCCTTCACAGCATGTGAACTGGAATGTGGGGCTGAGGTGAGGAAAGGTCCTTCCAGAGAAGTCAAAGTCAGGGGCCATGCCTGGGAGAGAAATCTACCTTCTGCCTTGCCCTTGACTGGTGCGCGATCGCATAAAATTAACCTGAGACCAGTGACCACGGAGGTGGGAGAGTCCTAGCACTGTGCTTGGCTGCTGGTGTCGGTGCTTGATGAAGTGATCTGTGAGCTTCTTCCCAGGCTTTGAGCACTAATTCCCCACGTTTGATTGTTTCAGCCTCCACTTAGGCTTTTTATTACACTCAGATCAAAGGGCTGTATGTCAGCACACATTGATTTAAAGAGGCAGTTTCTCCATTTTCACTATGTTTATTTGTAACATTAAGTGATGATAAGAAATTTTCTTTTTTCCTTGGCTGGCCTTGTAAACTGAGGCACAGAGAAACCCAGAGTCTTTGCCTGTGGCTGTCCAGTAGGGAAGGGTAGACTGTGTCGACAGTCCAAGCCTGGAGAAGCTATGCGTCACGTACCGTGCTTATCCAGGAATATTAAACATTTTCACCTACTTGTTTTGAAAAAATATAAAAAGAAAAGGAAACAAAAACAGTTAAAAAAAAAAAGCTGAAATGATAACTAGTTTTGTTTTTCACTTCATGATCATGCTTCTAGCAGTTTAGAAAAAGTTTTTTTTTTTTAAAGCACACATTAAACTATCAAATAGGTTGATCCAAATTGTCCAAATAATCTTCTAGTCCCAGCATGTCTTTTTTTCTCTCATAGAAATTAGGATCATATATTTGTAAATGACTTGTGGAGGAGATTGAAGCAGTCAGTGTAAATGGAGTTTCTCCAGGTGCTGACGCCTAATCGCTGGGTAATAGCTGTGGACTTGCTGTGAGCCCTGCATTATTACAATGTAATCAGAATCCTGTTGCTCTGCTGTTATTGTTAGCCACTTGTGGAATTTTTAAAGCAATAACAATTTTGATTTTAAATCATGGCATTATTAAAGTTATTTTCTTCCCTTGCCGGAACATAGCTATTGATGCTTATCTTCGAAGGAGTTGGCTGTAGTGGAATTCTTTGTTGGTGTCAGAAGAAATGTTTCTATTCCTTGGCATACAGAATCAGAGAACTGCCCCACCACTGCCCCACCCCACCTTTTTAACGCTCCCTCTTCTCCTCTTCTCCCTCCGCTTCTCCCTCCATCCCTTCCTCCCTTTTTCCCTTCCTTCCTCTCTTTCTTTCTTATTGTAGTATCAACGCTTCGTTATTTACACTAGTGAGTATGATGCCCATACCAATCATTTTTAAATGTAGTTAAACCAAATTTTATTTATATTTGATCTAGGAATTTATTATTAGGAAATTAATTTTTTCTACTTTTGCTTATGCTGTTGATTAGTTTTGTTACTAAAAATTGCCATAATAAAAATGGAAAAATAAGAGGAAATGGCCCAGGGATGTGCTTGTTTATAGGGGGAAGCCAGTTTGGATTTAAAATATACATAGTATCAAGAAAGTTAAGAATTGGTTTATGAATATATGTCTCAGAGTTAAGCAAAGTATACGAGCAAAGTACAGTCTGGATGTAAGTTGTGAAAGTCAGCATAGTTTTTGTATTGGTGTTATTCATGTATGTTTTCAGGTTCTCCAACAAGTGGGATTGCTTTTCTGCTTGTTGCCTCTTTATTAGGGACCTTTAAGAGCGTGTCTTAGTTCATTCATCTGTTTCTTTGTCTCTGCCTTTTGAGATGAGTGAGCAGGACAGAATACAGGAAGGCTTAGAGCCCAAGGCCCAAAACTCATAGAAGGATCTGTTTTGAAACTGCTAGTCTCTGTTGACTTCTTTTTTTTTTTTTAATTTTTTTTTTTTTTACCATGGAGTTTTTGTTTGTCATTTTATTTATTTTTAATTGAAGGATAATTACAGTATTGATTTCTGCCATACATCAACATAGATCAGCCATAGGTACACATATGTCCCCTCCCTCCCACCTCCCACCCCAGCCCATATTTTTATTTATTTTATTTTATTTTATTTATCTTATTTTTATTTATTTATTTATTTTTTAGGCCATGCCTTGAGGCATGTAGGGTTTCCCTGGTGGCACAGACTAAAGAAGCTGCCTCCAATGCAGGAGACCCGGGTTCAATCCCTGGGTTGCAAAGATCCCCTGAAGAAGGGAACGGCAACCCACTCCAGTATTCTTGCCTGGAGAAAAACCATGGACAGAGGAACCTGGCAGGCTGTAGTCCTTGGGGTTGCAAAGAGGCAAACACAACTGAGCATCTTACACACACACACACGAGGCATGTGGGATCTTAGGACCCCAACAAGGGATCAGACCCGTGCCCCTGTTTTGGGAGTGTGGAGTCTCAACCACTGACCTCCAAGGAAGTCCCTGTTGACTTCTAATATACTGCTTGCCTATGCCAAGCAGAAATATGAATAATCACTGAATTTAAATGCCTGTTAGACTTTGTTTTCAACAACTTTTAAACAGAATCCTTTAAAAAATGCCTCCATATAAAATAAGGAGGAAATGTTTTAGAATTGATAAGGTTAGAATTTGTTAACAGGTTGAATTCCAGAAATGCTGTATCAAATGGTAGGTGATATCTGTAAATCTAAATAACAGTTTAGGACTTAAGTTTTCTCTTTTGTGGAGGTTTCTTATTTTTCCTCTACCTGATTTCATTTAGCTTCTGTATCAGTATTGTTCTTCACATTTAAATACATGCCCAACCGTGCAATTTCTGTAAGCAGAAAGTGTGTTCCTGTCTACCTTGATATGTATGAGTCCTTAGAGAATTTAGATGACCCCATATGACCCTTTCTCCTTCACAGAGTTCCCATTTCATCCAGATCAATATATAAAACCTATTCTGTAAGACTCATTCCCAGGAGCCAGGTTGAGACTTATTTAGTTGCAAGTTTGAAGGTACTAAGTCAAGATATAGATATCCAAAAAGAATGCTTAGCCCATCAGGGCCTTCTGAGGACTGAATAGGCTAACATTTAGGATGAATGCTGGTCTCATGTATCTTCTGTTTTTACATGTTTGTTTGTAGAAAGCTACCCTAGTTGAACATGGGATCCGACGCCTTACTTTCCTGGTTGCACAAAAGGTATTGCCATGTGAATTATGTATCTGTGTCATATTTCTTATGCTGCTGCTAGAACTTTAAAAGTGAAAAATGGAATTATAATCATACACTTGTAGAATTTATGTAAAGGAATAACTGTTTCAGTATAAATTTAATCAAGAAAAGCATTAGTTTGTCATCTCCTTTTACTCAGTTCTTTTTAAATTTTATTTCTAATTGCCTTCTGCTTTTTTTCCCTTCCATTCTGTCTTTCATTTGAAAGGATTTCAGGAAACAGGTCAACTATGAAGTGGATCAGAGATTTCATGTAAGTAAGAGAAACCATGATGAAAGATCACTTACTGTTTTGTCTGTTGGCTGCTGGTTATTTTTAGAAGGGCTGGTCTGATATTTGGTCCCTCTACTTTGAAAAAGCATAAGAATGGATATTCAGGTCTTCTACAGAGTATTCATACTAAAGGGTTCCCCCCACTTTTTTTCCCCGTATAATGAATTCTCAGTGTATCTCTGAGAAATAGTTAAGAGTGAGCACATGCATTTATCCAAGTGAATAAGGTAGAAGCAGGCTCTAACTAGTAATTTCTTCTGTGCACACAGTGAATCAGTAATCAAAGACTGCCACCCGTACTTGAGGTCTTGACTTCTACCAAAGATGGATTCAGATTCTATTATTGAGATCTGCCAATTCTGAAGAACAATCATTTATTATTTAAAATGCCTTAGCAGAGCCCAAGTTAGTGTTTTTGTCTTATGTTAATTCTACGAGGAGGAAATAAATAAAAATTAAGTTGCTGGTTCTCCCATGTAACCAAATTAACTATTAATATTTATGAGTTTAAAATTTTTATTGAAAAATGTGAATAAAGAGAACTCACTAAATAGCTTGGTATCTGAACCATGGTGTACTTATGTATGAGCATACTGAGTATCATTATAGCAGAGAGGTCAAAAATCCAGTTTGCAGTCAAGATGTCATTTTGTCCAAGGGCTGAATGTAGTTAAAATATTTCTTTAAAAATTGCTCCTGATATGGTGAAGTAGAATTCCAAAGGATATTTACAATGTCTTAATTCTGATGAGAATTACATTTTGTTCTTAGCAATCAAGATAGTTTAGTTTTCAAGCCCTGCTCACTTGCAGTGATGAAGGTAACTTTGGGATGCTGGAAAGGACTTCCTAAACTCAAAGACCTGTGTGTGGGTGGCTTTTATTGCCCCTTTATTGTTAGGTCTCTAACACTTGACATTCTGTGTTCCTTTTCACAGTTCACCTTGTTGGTCTAGTCTACAGAGAAACAAGAGAGCCTCGCCTGCAGGCTAAAGAGCTAGGATTTTCTGAAACGCTTTAGGAAATGTTGTGGACTCCACAATTCCCCTGTGTTATTGATGTCAGGAAATCAAGCAGAGTGCAGATATATATCAATCAATAACTGTAGATAGAAGACAGGCGGCAGTGGAGAAGTATGAGGAGCTTAAAGAGAACCCCGGGGCTTTGGGAAGAAAAATCAGGAGCTTAGAGAATAAAATTGATACTTGGGAATAGAGTATGAGAATCTGTGAATAAATACTGTGGCTGGTAGATGCTGATCAGAACTCAGGCACACATGCCAGAGCCAGGCCCTGGATTTAGAAAAAGTATCGGGCTAGGTTCTTAAGCGCTAATCTGATTTGTTCTTTCATCACTGACTTTGGAATATATATTATTCTGAGGAGTAATACTGAATTTATAAAATTGTTTTCCTTTTTCCTTAGAGTCTTCATGTCTATTGCACACTAACTGGTTTTCTATAATCAGCATTCTATGATAAAACCCTCCACTGAAATTTTTTTTAAAGGCCAAAGCAATGAATTGTCACGGACATTTTTTTGGACACTTTCTTACCATTGAATCTACATCCTGTCCTAGAATACATCTAACAGCTTTAAAACATTTGTTTTCCTCCCTGCTCTCTTAATATTTACGGATTTCAGTTGAATAGAGACATGTATAAGCAAGATCTGCTTGGAAATGAGCCCAGCAGGTGGTCTTCCCGATCATTCCTTGTCCAGTTTCCATTTATAGTGGCATGAAGTGGGAAATCAGTTAAATTATCAAGTGACTTGATCTGTCATAAGTGTAGGAAACACTGCTTTAGGAGGCAGAGAACATGAAGTTTCAGGTGTGGACTGGATCTGCCCTGAAGAATTGTGTGGCAGAGAAGTTGGGGTGTTTTTATGTTAGGCCCCTGAGACGTGATTAGCAATTACTCAGGGGGCAAGGGTGACTATTACTGAACTCTGGCCGGGATCTGCCATGGCCAGAAAGCCCTGGCGGGAGTTGTACAAATCCGGGGCTCACCGTCATGGTGCTGCTCCGAGTTCCTCCGCTGGTGGTGGCTTGAAGGACGTTTGGCCTCTGTCATGTCGTCCAGTGTGCACTTGCCCTCTAGTTAGTGTAGTGTGAAAAAGAGGAAGCTTTCCGGGAGCATTAGTGATGAATCCCTTGATCTCTCTGGCTTCCTGGTAATCCACTGTTATGTATGCAGCCTCCCCTGCTCTACACCGTGAAATCCCGTATTATTGAGTAGAAGAGGAGACACATGCGGGAGGGGGAAAGGAGAGGAGGGAGGTTACCACGATTGGTTCGAGAACAACACTGGCTGGCGTGGAAGGAGGCAGCCATGCTGTTCCATAGCCGTCGTCTCTTGGGCTGCTTCAGAATCAGAACACTGCTGGGTGGAGGGTTCCTAGAGAGTGTGGATGCTGCTGCTGCTGCTGCTGCTAAGTCGCTTCAGTCGTGTCCAACTCTGTACGACCCCATAGATGGCAGCCCACCAGGCTCCCCCGTCCCTGGGATTCTCCAGGCAAGAATACTGGAGTGGGTTGCCATTTCCTTCTCCAATGCATAAAAGTGAAAGTGAAGTCACTTAGTCGTGTCCGACTCCTAGTGACCCCATGGACTGCAGCCTACCAGGCTCCTCCGTCCCTGGGATTCTCCAGGCAAGAATACTGGAGTGGGTTGCCATTTCCTTCTCCCAGAGAATGTGGATACTAGGTATTTATGCACATGGCAACAAAGGCCGGAATTATTTCCAATATTGTTTCATCAACACAGTCCCCGGAGATCTGCCCACCAGAATGTCTGCTGAGTGTCTTGGCTCTACGTGGAGATCATTTTTCTGAGCAGGTGGTAGCCACCCACATTAAGGAGTTCTGGCGTTTGAGTCTGTTTCCATAGCCATCTAATTAAAGCGAACACCCATAATGGGGCTTTGAATATCGATGCTTAATATTGATACTTGGATAGGAAGTTTGAGGAAAAGCAAGTCCATCCTTGTAAATATCTTCTTCATATTAAAAAAAAAAATTGAGGCCTTGAAAGCAAAAGAAGACTCTCTGAATTTCTATATTAAGTTGCTTTTCTCCAGTTTTATGGAGTATTAAGTCTCTGTTTGTTTCAGGCACATTCAGATCTAGAATTCCAAAAAGTGTGGCAGAAGATGCTGTTTAACTGGAACATAAGTAGTATACTTTAAGAAGCTTTGCATATTTTTTTTCCAGCGAAGTTTTGTTCAGGATGCTAAAATGTGTGTTTCTCAGATCTTTTCCTATACTTGGCTGCCCAAACAGAGCATTAGGTCCAGAAACCATGATGAGATTCTAAATCAGATTTCCACCTGTAGTTTCTTTTTGTTTCTTGTTTGTAAGATTTCATGAGATTTTTTTAAAATTCTGCTGTAAATCACCTAGGAGATAATTGCAGTCTTACTGATTTTTATGTGAGTGACTCCCACTTTAAATGTTTTGGATTGTTTTCGCCTGAAGGAAGAGCTCACTATCGAAAACAGTTATCATGGTTAGTAGTTCATTTCTTTTAAAAAAAAATTGATATGTCAATGATATCTCAATAAAGCTAGAAAAAAATTGGCAGTTCTGTTTGCTAGTGGATCAACTGTTAGTTTTTCAGAAGGTTTGGTTTGAGTTTTTGTTTTAATTACAGTCTATGTAATTAGTTCTCAGCATGTTGAGGTAAAAGAGAATTGCACCAGCAAGCTTCCAATTTCTTCATCTCATTAGGTTTTTAACACGATTATTAGTATCATAATCAGCTATGATGTTTTCTGTTGCAGGTTTTCACATTCTCTGATTTGCAGGGTGTCTTGATTGGCTAATTTAGGCAAATTATTTTGATTGTCTTGATGATGGTTGGCTGATTAGAACACAGCAGGGGTATAATTTCTTCCTGAGAAATGTTGCATTCTTTTGTTTTTTGGTACCAGAACACTAAGAGGGTTTTTCTTTGTGTACATTCAATTATGATATTTGCCCATAACACTAGTAGAATGCCTAGAAAGCAATTACATTAGTGACGGAGTAAGCTTGAATGCCATTAGTGGAAAAATTGGCTGTATGAGGATGTGGTAGGATGAAGGAATTTACTAAAACTATAATCAGACTTTGGGATTTCTTCTTTTCTGTGTTTTCTGTGATTTTTGAGTGGGGGAAAAAAAGGCAATTTTGTACAGAAGTCTTTCCCTGTCTTAGAGAATTGCTCATTAATCCTGGTTTGCCATTGCATGGAAGTTCGTGCCATCTCCTATTCTGAATGCTTTGTGCTTAGTGAGGACTTCACTGTGGAACGAAAAATTTATTCAAAAGTTTAAAAACGTTTGTTCGCGTCATCTTATCTTTTGTGTAAGTGGTATACTAAGTAACTGTTTAAGGTAACTAATTAATTAAAGTTAAGGAGGAATTGAAGAGTATGTGATTAAAAGATTGTATCATTACTTTCCTTGACTTTTCTTTCAGAAAAATCTCATGGAAAGACTTTGTTACCCTTCTTTTTTGACTCATGTTACTTTTTAGCTAATGCTCTGAAAGCCATACCTCTTGAGAATAAAACCAAAACTAGACTGTATAAAGCCCCGAGCATGAAATCTACTGACAATTCAGCTCAACATCTTCCTGCTTACCCTTGAAGTCATCCCCATGCTCTTCACTGTTGTTCAGGGGAATTAGAGAATTATTTAGGACAAAACATCATCAGTAAAAGATCAGTGCTATGTAAAATCCACTTTCAAAGGTTTTTTGAAGACCCACACCTGGACAAGTGGTTTGCTGGCCTTGCTAAACAAGCTCCTAGAAGCTGTTTTTTAGTTAAAATGCCAAGGAAAATGTAAAAAGATTTATTAACTGAGCAAGTTATAGTTGAAGTGTAAGACCTGTGGGAAGTATTCAAGAAGTTTTCCATAAATTTAAGAACCATGAATTTTGCTTTTTTTTATTTTTTATTTTTTTTGCTTTTTTTCCGTAAAGCCTTAATTTCTGGGGTTTTTGGTTTTTGTCTCAGAAACAAACGTGGTTCTTGAAAGAGAAGTCCTCTAAATAAGGAATTTGGATTAAAAAGAAGAATAGATAGGTAACATCCTATACTTGCTAGGCAGAGATGAAATGGCATGAGCTCTAGTGTTAGACCCAAGTTCACCTAACAGGGTCATAATTATTGGGATTGACATATATACACCAACGATACTATGTATAAAACGGAAGACTAATGAGAACCCACGCTATAGCACAGGGCGCTCTCCTCAGTGCTCTGTGTTGAGCTAAATGGGAAGAAGTTCCAAAAAGGAGGGGGTGTATGTATATGTACAACGGATTCACTTTGCCATATAGTAGAAACTAACACAATATTGCATAGCAGCTCTACAGCAATAAAAACTTATTTAAAAAAGAAAAACAAACAGCACTCTTCCAGAGAGGTTGTTGAGAGCATTCGACAGTCAACACATGAGAGCGCCTGCCACCTGCAAGGCTTTCAGCTCATGTTTCCTTCATGGTTCCTGAAGTTCATAGAGGGGAATTTAGGCAGCTAGTCCCGGTCTCTCTGCCTTGTACCGATAAGGGTTTGATTACATTGCACTCATAATGAAGAAGATGCCTTAATGAAACCTCCTATGGAGGCAAACAGTAATGACTTGATTCCAACACTTGCCAGTGGAGCTTCCCATCCGAGAAGCAGGGGTATTTGGTGTTAATAAGTTAAATTTCAGAAACTAATGGACTCTGCTAATTGAATTCATCTTTGTTAATTAATAAGGTTCTAGTAAATTGGTTGCTTTCTTGGGTAATGCCCTGCAAAAGAGCAGTAAGACCTAATGATTGCATGTTCACTAGTTCCACCCTATTCTTTCCTAGACATAGAGGGCTACTGACCAAAGTAACATCTCACACTTTTCTTTCTCTTGAAATGTTATTGTTTAAACCTTTGAAATTATTGACTTGAGAGTGAATGAGGGGGAAAAAAAGCGTGGATTGGGGATGCTATGTTCTCTGGTGAGTTTACACTTTAAGAGTTTCTTAAGGAGAAACTTGGGAAATCAATCCAGTAACTACGATTACAGTGCTGCAGTATAAGGATGCGTTGGTCTTATTTGCCAGTTTCTGCCATGGGCAACAGCCAAGAAGACGTTTTCCACTTGGGAGATGAAAAAATTACCATTTTTCACCCTAGAAGAGGGTAGCTATTAGTTGGGTTAGTATTGTGGTGGTTCTCAAATTTGTAAGTGGGGTCAAAGTGACGGATACCCAGAGGATCATTCGTTTTCTCCAGATTAAGTTTAGGTAAGGATCGTGTTTTCTAGGCAGCTGTCTTCTAGATGCTTGACTGTTTCTCTACCATGTGTTTATCCCTAAAGAGTCGTATCTATGAAGGATTGACACATTTTCCCTCCTTCTTTAACACAGAGAGAATTTCCTAAATTTTTCACATTCCGAGCAAGGGATAAGGTAAGGACTGATTTTTTTTTTTTAATCTTTGTTTTTTCCTTAAAAGCCCAAGAATAATGTATCTGTGCCATATGTTCTTACCATTCTTCTTTCTCTAATTGAACTTATACTTCCCTTTGTCTTACATATGTCTCTGAACTAAACAAGGTTCCCTTCCAAAAGAGTTTGGTTCAGAAAACACTGTAATACCGAACCTGTAACACTGACCTACCGAAGACAGAGATAACTTTCAAAATCATCCATTGGGATAATCCTAATGATGTAATATGAAAGGACTACTGTAGTTAGTTGGATTATTCTCGTCACCCATGGACAGTTCATTTATCAAGGCTTGTTTATGTGCATTTTTCGATTTTAAAATACAGAATTTCAGACCACAGTGGTTTCCTCTTATTACCAGCTTATGTGTTTGGCTTTCTCTCTCCATTTACTCTATGAACATGTACTCTAAACATGTCTGGCTTCAGCAAAACATACAGTAAATGTAAATACAACTTGAAAAAGAGAAATATGAATAATTATGCACGGATACAGGCTATTCCATAGCCAAATACCTATTTTTCAATATTATATGACGTTTGTTTTTCTGTGTCCTTTTGCACTCTGCCAGAAATGGTAGGAGTATGAGACATGGATCCTGCTCATATGTGTCTCAGATGAGTTAGATAAAACTAAAACACTGGTATGTGAAACAGATAGTAATGTGAAGTAGTTTGGTTAATTGTTAAAAAAAAAATGAACTATGAAGGCTTTAAATGCTAGAGGAGTTCTGAGGGAATAGATGGGGTTTGTTTGTTTTTAATGGAGAGCATCACCAGTTGTAAAAGTATAGATGATGAAAGCTTACAAAGTAAGCAGGGACTCTAGTGCCTAATCTTACATCAGTTGTTGCAGTTTCCTTGTATGTAGCTCCTCTTTTTTCCCATTTGGTTCATTGGCACAATGATGTGGCTTATGTTTCTTTTTTAAGCATCTCTTTTGTATACAGTTCCATAATATAATTCTGTAACTGCCTCTTGTAAGCTGTTCTTTCCTCCAATTCTTGTATTTAGTTTGAGGAAGATCGTATCTATCGTCACCTGGAGCCTGCCCTAGCTTTCCAGTTAGAGCTGAACCGGATGAGAAATTTTGACCTTACTGCCATCCCATGTGCCAATCACAAGATGCACTTGTATCTCGGGGCAGCCAAGGTGGAAGTGGGTACAGAAGTGACAGACTACAGGTTCTTTGTTCGTGCAATCATCAGGCATTCTGATCTGGTCACCAAGGTGGGTGCTGTACTTTCTTCTCTTTTTACCTTGGGCGGGGGCGCTATGCCATTCGGCTTGCATTGTGTTAGTTCCCTGACCAGGGATCAAACCTGTGCCCCAGTGGAAGCACAGAGTCCTAACCACTGGGTCACCAGAGAAGACCACGGGTGCTGTACTTTAATGGAAAGTTATCTCTGAGGGAAGGGACAGAGACACAGCCATGATTCAGAATCAGGTTTTCCTCTTGAATCAAGATTCTTGTTCTCTTTCATCCTATTGTCCAATAATCACCAGAAGTCTAAGAGTCAATTCTCTCACAGAGGTAAATATTCCATGGAATAAAGGGCTTTTTTTCCCCTTTCATTTGATTTTTCTTGGTGGTGGAAGTATGATAATATTTGCTTGAGAAAAGGAAAAGCATGCAAACAGAAAAACCACAGGGAAGTGTGGGTGATGATAGAGGATAAAATGAAAAGTTAGAGATGACTCCATGGTAAACCTGTCTAAAAGTGGGGGTGGTTTCTGTACATAGCTGATATGTGACTTGTTCCTGCATCCCATAGCCATAACCTTTCTGCAACTTTTCCTCTCTAAACAGATTTCCTTTCTACGCTGCTCTGTCTGGCAGTTGTGACCCTACTAGGGTTGCAGTTCTGGGGGTGCCCAGGATCTCCACTTGTTGTAAGAAAATGGTACCGAACAGGCAGGAGGAAGGGTTGGTGGGAACTCTTTATCTGACCCTTGCTAGTCCCTGCTGCCTGTGGTCTTTGGGTTGACCCCAGGAAGAAAGATAAATAACATCTACATAACAGCCTTATGACTTGTCGGGTTGGCCAAAACCCAAACAAACTTTTTGGCCAAGCCTATAAAACACATTAATGTTGATGGTGGTTTTCTTTCCTGCATAGGAAGCTTCCTTTGAATATCTACAAAATGAAGGGGAGCGGCTCCTCCTGGAAGCCATGGATGAGTTGGAAGTCGCCTTTAACAATACAAATGTCCGAACTGACTGCAACCACATCTTCCTCAACTTTGTTCCTACAGTCATCATGGACCCATCAAAGGTACATTTCTCTGTTGCTTCACACCCAGCACCCGCCAGCACAGCAGACAGAGTCATTCTTATTTGTTTGCACTTGGACCTGGAAACAGGTACTTTCTTGGTCAGCTGACTGAACCCTTGCTCTTTGAAGTTTACAGAATGCTTATAGGACTGGGTTTCTGGGATGATATAAAAAATTTGATGTAACCATTGAAATCATACCTCAAAACTGAAGGTGTCTCTTTGTTCTGCTATGAAGCTTTACTTCTCTACTACCTGCCTTTGAGTTTCTGCTGAAAAGCATGTGATGGTGTCTGACTCCCTTGCTGTAGTGATCTCTGAGTAAATAACCTTTAAACACAGTGATTTAAAATTTTTAAAAGCAATCATAATTTACCATGAGACTTAGCTGTGAGTAGAAATTTCATAATCATACATTTTAATTTATGTTTTTAATTTATAATTATGTTTAATTTACATTAATACATACATTTTAATATAATCATTAAATATTAACTCATAGTTTTGTTTGCTTTCATGGATATAGTTTAAAAGTGTTTCTAGTCCATTGTATTGCAGGATATATAAGCCACTAAAAATCTTGTGATATAATTTGTATATAATTAAATACATCCATTTAAGTATAAGGTCTAAAACACTGAAGGTGGTTTGATGTTATCTTGATGGTCACTTGTAAGCAGTACAAAAATATAAAACTTCTACCTCTTCTTCCGTTGGCAACTGGATATTTTATGATATTTACCACGATAGCAGTCCTATTTTGTTTAATTCCCTAACATTTCTCATCTGGTATAACTAACTTTGCTATCATTGGGCATTTTGGCAAAATTACTGCCTCTTTTTACTGGTCGTCTGATGGCCTTTGAGCAGTAACACACCTTCCCAAAGTGTCTAACCTATTTCTCTTTAGTATTTTTCCACAGAGGAAAATTTGGTTGATATGGAATTCCACACATAACAATGTATGGTTTCTTCCCCGAGGCTCTATTCTAAAATGCATTCCATATAATTTAAGGAAGGAAAGCAAGGTGACTCTCTACTTGACCTTTTATCCCAGGTGTAATAAAGATGGTTGCTCTCTTGTTTCCACTCCCTCTAACCTTTTTATGATATTGTGGAATTTGAATAGGAGAACCAGTATATTTGAATAGGAGACCTCTTTCTCAAGAGCCATTGTAGGCATGGACTTTTGCTTTTTGAACTTAATGTTCAAAAGACCCGAAAAATCATTTTCTACTATTTTTTTCTTCTAAACTCAAATACTGATTAGTTGCCTTGTCTACCAGGAAAGCCAAGGTCCAGGGCTACTTACTGAGTTTCGTAAAGTTTCATCATTCGGTTTAAGCAAAGGTTTTTTTGAGCGTGCTGGGATTGATGAAACTAGGAGAATTAAAATGTGCCCTGGACACTCTATCACTATGTATATTTGTAGATATGACTTAGCATTCCTCGATGAGTTTTTGCTATCAATGTCTCTGTTTCTACTCCAAATGCTCATACTCCTTGACTCTGTCTTTCTAATCATAGATAGCTGTCAATTTCCTGTATTTAGAAATTGTTGACTTTTGTTCCCTCAAAAAAAGAATGTATAGATATCTCTTGGTTAACAAGACAAGTGTGGGAATAGAGATGTTAACTCCTTGAAACTCATTTTAACCTGAAATTCTTTGGAACAGAAATACACTACAAGAGTGGCACATACTTCCAAAGAGCCACAAATGAAGGATGGAATGAGATTTTTTTAAAAAATTCTCTAAGACGTTGAGAAAGCATTTTAGAGAGATAACTTCATTTAAGAAAACATTGTTTTGAGTAGTATGTCTTAGCTGCCTGTAACCATATTGGGAATAAAAAAATTCTTTTTTGCTTTAGTATGTCAGTAAGGAAAAATCACATCTAAGGCCACTTGGTTAAAATAACTCACCAAATCCTAAAAATGAGGGCCACTAAGCTGCCTTGGTATAAAGGTTAGAAAAATGAGGGAGCATTTGCCCCATCTCTTTAAATCCTAGTTGGACTTAGCAGTGACCTAGCTTCAGGGTGCTGTTTAGAGAGAACATTCTAGCACCACCTATAAATTGCCTTTTTTTAATTTGTGCAATTTACCAAGAAACATATATTATAAAGTTTAATAAAATTGTATGGAAAAAAGCTCATGGTGGTAATTGCTATGTTGATTTAAGGTCCTGAAAGTGCAATGAAACATAGTTACCATGCATATAAATGCTACTTAATAGCTGTTTAACTAGAGATTTTATTCTTATTTGGGGCCTTCTCTTAAATCCCATGGCTTCTAATTTTAGATATTGCAGATCTTTGGCATAGAATATGAATACAATTGGGAAAGAGGAAGGGAGTTGCACAAATTTGGGTGTTGTGAGCCACAGAAAACCACTCAAATGCCAGCGTGAAACTGTCCCTGATTTGTTCTAAGTAAGAGTAGGGTTGGGGAGAAACTGTCTTTTTGGAAGGAATACATGGACACATCTCCAGGAACCAGAATCTGTTCCCTTTCCTCCCTTCCCAGAGATGGGCAGACCTGAATCAGATCCTAGATACAAGGTGCTTAAGTTTTGTGCTTGGTGATGTGTCTGTGTCAGATTGAGGAGTCCGTGCGGAGCATGGTGATGCGCTATGGAAGTCGGCTGTGGAAACTGCGTGTCCTCCAGGCAGAACTGAAAATCAACATTCGCCTGACACCAACTGGAAAAGCAATTCCCATCCGCCTCTTCCTGACGAACGAGTCTGGCTATTACTTGGACATCAGCCTGTACAAGGAAGTGACTGATTCCAGGACAGCACAGGTACAGTAGTTAAGCAGGCTCCTCAAAATTTTCACTTGGTTCCCCCAGAGAGAAGCCACTTGTCCTTGTTACAGAAGGACCAGAATTCACAGATCCCATTGTTCCACCCAGCGGGGGTTATCCTCACTCAGCTTAAATGGTTGCATGAACTTGAAACACTTCATTTGCCTCATAAGCAGCACCTCTGTCTTAATCCTGAATGTTTTGAAACCCTTAACCTTTGGTCATGAGTTGGGGAGCCCTAACCAGGTGCCAAGGGAACCTGACTCTAGAGTAATTGTACAATTTAGGGTTCTTGGGCTACTTGTCTTTTCTGATCTGATTTGTCCTTGTTCCTGTTTTCAGCCTAGTTAGACCACTCATTGGCAAGGAAAGGAAGGAGAATTGTTGAAGTATGAAATATCTCAAAGAAAGAAATTTCAACATAATATAATAATATCTTGAGCAAGATCAAGCAGACATTTTATCTTATTTACCCTTTGTTCCACTTACACACACTATCTTGCCTTCCAAGAGTTCAGAGTATCATATCTATAAAAAAGCAAAGTGGCAGACTTTAACCTATTTTTTCAGGTAGAAGAATTGAGAAAGTGAAAATGAAAAGTGACTTTCAAAGTAGATTGGTTCTATGATAACAGAAAATTCCCTTTTAATCTGTTTGATCACCTTAGTTTCTGACTCTTTGGGCCATTTACTGTGGTACAGGATTTAGCTTCATTCACCACTATTCACGTCTTTTTAAGAACTGGGATGTTAATTTTAGGTCTCTGGCCCGAACGTGGCAAGTGCCTTTCTTCCTGTTAAAGGATGAACTTGTTCCTTTGTATGTGTACACAAGATCTCGGTCTATTCTCTGTGTTGGGTGATGAAGAGATTATGTGTCTCTTGTTTTTATCTACGTCATTTTAAGTCTGGGAACAGCAGTAAGAAAAGACTTTTTTGCCAGGATTTTGAAGACAAATTTTAAAACTCTGGGTTTGGACAGTTGTCTGAGCGACCTTTCATTTCGTGCTTTGATTCCCACGTAGATGGCCAGAGAAATCTGTCCTGTGAGAAGTGAACAGTTAACACAGAAAGTGCGCGGAAGAGTGCAAGGGGTGAGCAAGAGAAAGAGTATTCAATAATTTTCGCGGCATTTGATGTTTTTCAGGACAACCTTAAAGACATTTTCAGTCAAAGCTTTCCATGGGCAGTGATGTTTTTAATTAACTTCTACAATGGCTTCAAGGCAGTTCTATTCTTGTGAAAAATAAGATGGCCACTTGAGATTTTAATGTTTTTGATAAATATGTTTGTTCTCCATAACTACTCCCCCTCTCCTTTCTTTTATTAGAAAGCTCTGCGATTTTCCTCATGCTGGCCAGTGGTGACACAGGGGCATGAGAGGCACAAATGCCTTTATTCAGGGTTTAGTAGAAGGAAATGGCAACCCACTGCAGTATTCTTGCCTGGAAAATCCCATGGACAGAGGAGTCTCACAGGCCATGGGATCCTCACAAAGAGTCGGGCATGACTAAGTGACTTACGTTTGGAACAAGTATTTAAAAAAATAAATGAGCTGCCTTTTGCCTGAGGGAGCTCCCTTCTTACTGTGGGTCCTATGTATCTAGGAAGCCCTGAAGGAAGGGGTGTCCTTCAGATTGCAGTGGCCACTGCCAAGTGTGAATGCAGGAGCACACAGCTGGAGGAGGGAGCTAACAAGAGAAGGAGCTTCCCACTCGGTTCTGGCACTCCAGAAGCCTCCTTGATGCTTACCAGCAATTATAGTTTTTTCCTTTCTGTGCTCTAGTGAGTCTTAACAACATAGGACTGTGCGTATCATTCAGTCATTTGTTCGTTAATTTAACATTTATTGACCACTTATGATGTATCAAGCAGTAGGGATACAAAAGTAAAAAGTGATATTTCTTCTCAAGAAATTTACCCATGATGGAAGAAGACAGATAATTTGTTTCTCTGTTGTATGATTTGATTTGTGCCATCAAAAAATAAGTCCATGGTTCTAAGGGAGCAGACTGTATGGGATCAGAGATTCTTTTTCCAGGAGAAGCCCTTTTGATGGCCTCTGGTAAAAGGTGTATGATAAATAAAATACGTACATATGTCCATGACTTTGTAAAGTATGTACTTTATCAATTTCTAATGACTATGGCCATGAAAGCAGAAAATGGAATTAACATAGGTAACATAGATAACTATCTAATATAATACAGCTAATGTATTTAATATGTCTCTGTTATAACAGTTATGTTACTATTCAGAGACTTTCAGGGCCATCCATTGTTATCAACCTCTTGTTCAAGAATAATTTTTCATTCTTTCTGTCAACAAAGAGCAAGGTTGACTGGCTTGAGTTTCATTTTATTCCACTTTCCTTGTATAGTCTTTGTGGTATTAGCTATCCTGAGCACTGATGTCAGGCAGAGTAGGGAGATTTGAGTAATCCATTACATAAGTCCATTGACTTCCAATGTTCAGTGTAAGAGAGAAATATACATTTCAAAATCATCTTTATTGAGATAGAACTTAGATGTAATAAAAGGCACTCATTTTATGTGTACAGTTTAATTCATCCTGAAATTGTACATACCTGTGATCACCATCACAGTCATGATAGAGACCACTTGACACCCTCAGAAATTCTCTTTATTCTCCTTTGCAGGCAAAGGTAAGGGCACCTTCCTCAGCCCTAGGCACCCACCAGTCTGGTTTATAAATTTATAGAATAATTTTTGCCTGTCCTGGAATACCAGATAAATGAAGTTAGACAATATGTACTGTTTTGTGTCTGGCTTCTTTGGTAAACATAGTGTTTTTGAGAATCATCCGTGTTTTATGGATCATGGATGTGCTCCTTTTTATTGCTGAGTAGTGATATACCAAAATTTTATATTCATTAACCTGTTGATGGGCATCCGAGGTTTTATTTTTCAGTTTGGGCTATTGTGAGTAAAGCTGCTGTGAACATTCATTTCCAAATATCTGTATAGATTTGTTTTCATTTGAGTAAATCTATGAGTACAATTATTGGGGCGTAGTAAGTTTAATTTAACCATGTTAAATTCCCACCAGCAGTGAGAGTACCCAGAGAGCTTTCTCCAGCCTGCTTTCTCAGCCCACACAGTTATGTTGCTTGAATGACCAGCCTGACTTTATCCCAGACCTCGCAAAACTGTCCCAGTTGGTCTTGTCTTTCCTAATAGACAGGACTGTATTGGATTGGCCAAAAAATTTGTTTGGATTTTCCATAGGATCCTATGTAAAAACCCGAGCAAACTTTTTGGCCAACTCAATAGTTTAAAGAACCTATTGCTTTTGCTCTTTTTTCCCCCCTTATTTTGACGTGGGTTATCTCCTCTAAGTCCAGTTTTTACATACTTACACCCTAGCCTCACTTAACACTTCGAATCTCTTGAAACATTTCTATTTCTGCCTCCCACATTACTAAGACATTGCTAATTCTACCTCCCACCTGGGGACTTTCATCATTAGCTCTGTGGAAGAGGATTGGGAGCTCGATTCTGTGGGTCTTTAAGCAGTCCACAACAGATTTTGTCCAGAATAGGACCTGACTGACAAGTAAGTAGAACACGCTTGTTCCTCTTGATCTAAAGGGCTAACGATTTACTTACTTGAACTGTACCCAGGATTTAGGAGAATACCTCATTCTCTCCTGGTGCCTGTTTAGCAGGCCTGCAAATCTGTTCATTAATGGTAGACTTAAGCTTATATTATTTTAGGCCCGAAGAGATAGGTGGGTATACACACATACCCTCACTTCCCAGTCTCCATTTGTATTCACTGCACTGGGAATCTATGTTTTATGTATTCATGCATAAAGTGCCTAGCTTAGTGTCATACAACCTCTGGGCACTCAATAAATATTAATTGAATTGAAATAATGGCATCCCTTATAAATATTCATAAGCAAATAAAACTAAATATATGAAATATGAGGTACTCTTCTAGAAATATTTGAGTTAAAATGATTAAAAACTGGTGTGATTTTATTATGTGACAATATAGATATTGCAGGGTCTATTCACTAGTTGTAGACGCAGTATACTGGGGGAAATATATCTGTATGTGTATTATATTTAATAAAATGTATATACTTTTTACTAAAGGCTCTGTCTTATGAGCTCACAAGAACCAGCTAGCTAGATGGATGGGTAAAATCTACTTGTGTCAAATCTTTGAAGCCTTTGTGTAGCTAATTGTACCTATGAAGTACCTTCTGAGCCTGTGGACTATAAAGTGTAGGTGACCCGGTAGAGCCTTGACCTGGCCTTCTATCTTTGAAGAAAGAGCAGAGTTCTCTTTGGTGCATAGCTGTTCCTCAACTTAAATACTAGGACTGCTTAGTTGGTTAGTTGACCTTCGTTTCTGAATATGGGATTCAAGTCATTTTGACAGGCAAGTATTATCAGTCTGTCTCTGAAACATGAAATTTACTCTGGTGCTTTCTCATTGATTTCGACTAATTCAAAATTGAGAGGAGGAGTGTGTGATTTGTGGTTGGTGTCATACTATTTTTTGGAGTTGGTTAATCTGCAGAGGCGAGAGTACCATGTACCCAATGTTAAGAGGTGTATCTTAGCTATTCAACTCACCAAAAATGTGTTTTAAGAAATAACATTTGTGAAAAAAAGTCACTTTAGGCAACTCATGCGATTTTTTTTTTTTCCCTCTTGTCTTTTAATTCCCCATGCCATCCTCTTTTTCTTGCAGATCATGTTTCAGGCATATGGAGACAAACAGGGACCATTACATGGAATGTTAATCAACACTCCGTACGTGACCAAAGACCTGCTTCAATCCAAGAGGTTCCAGGCACAGTCCTTAGGGACAACATACATATATGATATCCCAGAGATGTTTCGGCAGGTAAAGGTGGCTACCTGGGGGTGGGGGCTCTGACGTGTGCCAGAGAGGCAAGATTTTTCCTGAATTTTCATCAGATACAGCTCACACTGAAATAGGACACTTTCAAAAGGCAGTAAGTGTCTTGACCCTGTTCTCACTTCTCTCTCTTCTGGGGTTGTGACTGCCAGCTCAGATGGTAGATGGTTCTTTGTGGATGCCCAGGAAGAATGGCAAGGATAGAGGCCTCTGCTGAGTAGGAAAGAGTAAACGGAGACTCCGCCCCTCTGATAGTCGTGCATGATGACCTGTGTGAGGGGCTACATTCAGGTGTCTACTTCCAAAGCCTGTATTCAAGTCAAAGAGAGATTTGAAATGCTGGTTCTCATTTCCCAAGATAACCCAGGTCTCTAACTGATAGCCTAGGTTAATATGATGAGAATCAGTATATAACATATACAAATGGATATAGAGTTCATGGTACACAGTTTAAAGTATCAGTTCTTTTGTGGGAGATTTATTACAGTGGAATAAAAACTAGTGTGAGAAAATATGACATTATGAATCTCATCCTCCATATGAAAATAAATTCCTTTGATCTGTATGGTGAATCATGTCTAGCCTGCAGATTTTTCTTCCATCAATAGAAGGCAAGAAAAGTATATCACCAGCAGAAAATGCAACAGATAAAGAAGAAGGTATCAAAAGAATACTGAATTTGTTCTTAAAAAAAAAAAATCTATGAATATAGAATTTTCCCAAGTCTCCTAGTCAAAAATACCAGTGTTACCACATTTGAATTTTAATAAAGTAATATATGTGGTCTTAGTAAATAGTCTATTTGTAATTCCTGTATTATTCAGAAATACGAGAGATTTCCATTATGTAGCCATTTGTTTACAAGGTCTCTCTCTTGACACATAGCTGTCTTCATTCAGTATTACTAGTATTGTCAGCCTATAAGTTGAGTGTTGATTCTGTTCCCTAGTGCTGGCGCCATAAAAAGAAATCACTTTCTATATAATTTATCCTATAGAATAGACATAAGCACAGTGATTTGGACTTGTAGGTATGAATGAGTCATCTTGGTTTTAAATGTTGCTCTGAGTCAAGCAGAGAAACAACCAAACTAGTTCCCACTTGATGCCCCATTCATTTTGCTAATATGAAATTTGAAATGGACATCAGAATGGTTTAAAAATGATGTGTGTCTCTGTTTTCTCATATTTGAGCAGATTTGATCTGTACATGTACAATCAATCAATCCACCTCTAGTGAGCTAATTCCCATGTATGGGCCTGTAGCTTTGGAAATACACTAGAGCAGGCATCCCCTGAACCTCTAGTAGAAACTCTATTCTTGTGTTCCTGGGTTTGCTTTGTATTAGCTGAGGTATCAGTCACTTTCCTGGTTATTCTTCTATGGCCAAGTTTCTCTAGGATTTTTCTTCCTTTTTTAAAGAGGTATTGTTGCTACTTTAGTTTTTTATTTTAATTTTCCCAGGACATTGTTAGGTCCATTGTGTTTGTTAATGGTCTCATACTAATTCATGATCCCTCAGTAGTTTAATGTTATTGGCAAAGCATCTGATTTGGGGCATGTAAAAAACATTATGTGAAAAATAATTACAAGTCTATTCTAACGGAGAATGGGAACTCTAGAATTTGGTCTAACATTTAGATGCTCAGTAGAATGCTTGGAAAAGAAAGAGCAAAACTAAATTGACCATGTTTTAGTATTTATTTTGTTCATGTTGAAATGTTGATTGTTACTGATTAGTCAAACTTTTCTCCTCCTTTAGTCCCTGATCAAGCTCTGGGAATCTATGTCCTCTCAAGCATTCCTTCCACCGCCCCCTCTGCCTTCAGACATACTGACTTACACTGAGCTTGTGTTGGATGATCAAGGTCAACTGGTTCACATGAACAGGCTTCCAGGAGGAAATGAGGCAAGTCCTGGAGATTCCCCTCCCCACTTTCTTATCTCTGTGCCCACTAGTATCAGCTTTCTATGGGGGATGGTCATTAAATAGTATTAAATAAGATCTGAGTGGCAGAGGCAGCATTGGTAGAAGTAGTCTAGTCTTATTTATAGAAGTCGTAGTTCTATTGGTAGAACTCTTTAGCCAGAGAACACAGACTGGACAGCAAGGATTATCCTTAATTTTTTAGGTGTGATAATAAGATTACATTTTTTTGAACAGTATTACAATATTGCTTTATAAAAAAGAGTATTGTCTTCTGTTAGAGATACCTACTAAAGTAGTTACTGATAAAATGATCTAATGTTTAGGAGCTGCTTCAAAATTATGTTGGGATGGGAATGTGGAGTCCAGATGAAACATGATTGTTCATGAGTTGTTGACTGAAGCTCGGTGGTAGATACACAGGAATAGATTAGTTTCTCTGTTTTTGTACACATTTGAAATTTTGAGATTTTTCTATGATAAAAGCCTTTAAATATTTCTTGATGTTTTTTCTTATTTGGATCCTTACTGGTGTATGGTTTTTAGTATGTTTTTCGTGCTCAGGTAATTTGATCTAGTGCTGTTGTGAGCATGGGGAATTTTTTCTTCGTAAAAGGGCTCCATCAGAACCAGAAGTTTAAACATCAAAGGAGGTAACAGAGAACCCGTGACTCATGCGTTTTTAGCTTTAGATTCCTTTTTCCTCTATAACACTGTTAATAATGATGTATAGTCATATTCTGCCCCATGCTTTGAGATTCTTCCTGATTCTAACTGTGCTTCTAAAGTACAGTTATAACAACAATGATAACAGTAGTAATAAGCCTAAAATGAGATATGTTATTTTAACCTTAGAAATCATCCCTGGATAAAACTGGTCCCTTAGAAGGAGTAATCTCTACCTGAGTGTTCACCATCAACAGACTGGATAGACCTTCAGTGATAAATGCAATTATTTCCCGTTTTATTCAATATCTTTTTTTCAAAAAATTTTGCTAAACGTACAAGGTGCATGACCGGAGCTGCCAAATTTAGATTGTTTGATATTAAGATGGACACAAGCATTGGACCCAATGGAGGATGTCAGACTTGCAGATAGCAAAAGTGAGAGGCTAGGGAGGAAGAATGTATTGAATTTTGACAAGAGTAGGTATATGTGTACTTGTTAACACACAGTTGCAGCAGAGGTTTATGCCACTGTGTGTAGCATCTGCTTAGTGAAGCCTTCAGCAGAAAGAAAAGCCTCATTGTGCTAGACTTAAATTCTGATTCATTGAACAGTATCGTCTTCAGGAATGGAAGGCACGCTTGTGAACATGGGACTGAGAGAAAAATGCTTTTAACTACTGTAATTAAAACACAAAATGAGATTTTTGGCCACGTGAAAGCTAGCCACAGCACCGGATAAAACCTCTTGCCACGATCTTTCTGTCCTGCTTTCTCTCTGCTCTCATTCTGCGTTTGAGCGAGTGGAGACTGGGGGAATAGTGAAGTCCCAGAGGGACAGAGCTCTGTTCTTGCTGAAATTACAAGCACAGAGCTGCCTGGGCATGAACATGTAGTGTTTACTCTGCCAGTATGAATACAAATAGTCTTATTATACGGACTCTGTACCCAAAGACACCCACCCACCCACACACACACACACCCACACACACACACACACACACACACACACACACACGAATAAAAAAAAATTTTAAAGGTTTTTTTTTAACCCTTTAAAGACTCAACAAACCTGGGTGGAAAAGGGATGTCTTAACGGCACAGGACTATGGCTGGGAGCAGCAGACCATGTGTTTCCCTTTGCTCAGTGGTTTAATAATGATCTTGAAATCTAGAAATCTAATCGTATTAAAATTTTTTTCTTCTTGTGTTTCGTCAGTTTTGCCTTTCATCTTGTCCCACTCTTCTCCCTCCTCAGTTCCCTGTTTTCTTTGTCCTCTTTTCCTTTCCATCAAATGACCGAGTAGGATTGAAGCTGAGCTTCAGCTTGCTGTTTGCGTCCTTGAACTCTGGAGGGGCGAGCAGGTAGTGACTACTGCCCGGCATGGCTGGTGAAGTCAGTCAGTGGCCAGCGCTAGATTATAGGGCCCCCACGTGACAGGAATGAGGTCGGGGTTATTAGTATCAGACCCTGTTACCGAGAGCTGGAACGTACAATGGAGCATGTCCACTGAGAGACTGACCAGTCTGAAGATGGAATTTCAGCAGGCAGAACTCAGAGGGACAGCCTTGCCCAAGAGATGAGCGGGTGGCAGGGGGATATATTTCTTTGTGCTGGGCCCAGTTTTATCAGGGCAAGTTGACTTTCAGCAATTGCCATTTAATTTTCTTTGGCCAAGAGACAACTTTGTCATGAGTCTGGCACTCTACATATTACCCCAAGAATGATGTGAGGGGAAGGAAAAGAGCTCATGCTGATGAGGGAGCAAATCGGTCTGATCTCAAAGAGAATGGGCATCTGAACGGAGCCTTGAGAAATAGTTTTATTAAAGACAGAGATAAAAAAAATGACCTGTTAATGTTCCAGGAGCCAAGGTTCGATGTAAAAGCATCGACGCTACATAGACATTAAATCATCATAATTGGTGTTCTCCAGAGGTGGCGGCTCCACCAGGTCATCATGGTGGGTGATACTGCGTTACCTTGAAGGACTGGAGTTTCTGGGTTTCAAAGCCAGCCCACGGAGATAAGGCATACAAGTAAAACAAGAGATTCCTGCAGAGTTTCCCCATGAATTGAGATGCTTCTCCCCATAATCAAAGGCAGAAAACCTGCACTTACCAGACCATCGGCTAGGTGGGTAGCCAGTCTTTCTCCCCTATTTTTTTTTTCCAGGACAGTAAATAGGTAAAATGGTGATGGGACCAGAACTTGGAACAATTCAGTTCCATTTAGTTTAGGGAACTTGTTTGCCATTTGAGGAAGAATATTGGCTGTTTCAGCAGAGATGTGACCTGCATTTCGAACACTGTGGCTGTGTTAAAAGCAAGAGAGAGAGAGCTTTTCTGAGGTGGTGTTAGCTGCTGTTTCTTTTCTATTTTCCTAGTTGTCCCTTTCCCATCGAGAGATGTAACTGAAGGAATGCCACCTTATGCATGATGAAAGCTATAGGAGAAAACATTTTTCTCATTGTCAGATTTTGAATGGCATTGCGTTTAGTATGAATTTAGAGTAGGAATAAAAAAGATGTAGACCAAATCTGTGAATTGCGTTCCTTGCAAATAGCTCCAAAGATGAGTTGTCTAGGATTTTTTTTTTTTTCTAATAGTTTCAAGTAAAGAAGAAAATTGAGGAAAATCTGATTGCAACATAGACTAAACTGATTTCACGCTCCTGTGATGGGCACTGTATGTAAATACCCAGCTGGATGAATGTGTGCTGTTGAACCTGGATACAAAAGAAGTGCAGCTAACCAACAGTTGTACTTTCACCACTTCTCAACTTGGGGGGAATTGTTTTCTTTTTCCTGCCAGTTTGCTAATCTGTTTTGATCATTTAGTGGAAGCTGTAATTGCAGGTGGGAACATTTTGAGTAACAGTTCACAATCCAAGGCAGCTGCTTTTCGCACCAAATCCTGTTATTAAAAAGCTCAGGCTAAGATCAAGCCAACGGCTGATAACCGACTTGACGGAGAACAACTTAACTTTGCCCAGAAGGACAAAGAAAGCACTGGCCTTCTTGAAACTGAGTTCTTACTTATTCTGAAATGCTATTAGCATCCTTTTATTAAATTTCCTAAACTGCTCTGTGAACTACGTGATGAATCTCCAAACCAGGCAATGATGAAAGGTACGATAGACAGGTACCTTTTATAGCAAAATTAGTGTGGATAGAAATGAGGGCCGTGTTATCCTTACTGTTTTAGAACACAGGCTTTATAACAATATGAATCCATCCATTCCCTCTCATTGCTCCTGTCATAATGAAAAACAGTGATAAGAAGATGATGCTATGTCTAGAAGCAGTTATAATAATTAGGTTTAGGATGTGTACTCTGAAAAGGATTGGTAGTTAGAGACTGGAATTCTTGCGTGGCACTTCATTATTTCCTTAAACTTTTTTCTAAGGGTTAAGTGTGTTTCAAATTGAATGCAATTTAATGGTCACCTCCACATACTACCAGGCTTAAAATTGTAGTGGCTCCAAGACTTCATTTTTTCAGATGGGCACTAGGTGTCAGGGTTTTTCCTTCTCAGCAGTCTAGCATTCAGATGAGCCTCTTGAATTGTCCTGCGTTGGGAGGCAAATCTAGTAATAGCCTCTTTTTTTCAGTTGGTCTGGTAGGCTTTACCTCATTTTCCTAGAACGTGCCATTGTGTTTTTAACCCTTTGGGTGGAGATCTGTTGAATCTTATATCATGACTGCACATTTTCACGGGAAACATTTTTTTTAGAGGATGATTGAAGAGGGAAAAAAGTAGTATAAATTAAAGTTGAAAGGCTAGCTGCCGTTCTGACTGGTATCTTGGTTTCAGCTCTGCCTTATATTCTGAGGAATGAAATGGTGGCGATTAGGAATTCAGTTCTAAAACTGCTCAGCCCAGCCCACATTTAGTTGTCATGTAATTGTTGGCAAAGCACTGTTGTCCAGTTCTACCAAAGTATAAACATCTTTTTGACTTTTTTTTTACTACAAAATATTGCAAGCCTATAGAAAAATTGGAAGAGAGATATGATAAATATCCCTGCATGTATTGACTAGCTTAAACAAATTTTACCATTTTGATCCTGCGCCTCACTGATCTTTTGCCATAGTCCTTTGAAATAGCTCATTTGAGTATAAAAACAAAAATAAAATGTAGGAGTTGGGTAAGGAAGTTGGTAAGCTTATCTAAGTTTGAAAGATTGGAAGAAATTAATTAGTAGATCCATTTTGACAGTTCTTAGGCTGGACCTCTTAACCCAAAGGACCTCTTATTTTAGAAAAAACACCATAACACTCTATCTTAATTCACTTGGTTGACATTTTCCATAC